TATGGAAGGTTGGACAAAGGTTGGAGCTTGCATGACTAAAGCGAGGGTATGAGTATAGAGATTGGTTGAAGTTAACTTCGTGTAGTGCGTGAACTTTTGGTTGACTCTTTGATGTGATTGCATGTATATTCTGTGATTCGAATTTTGGATTTGACTGTATGTGATCACACATATATATATGGCTGTGAGGAGTTCCACTGTGATTATAAGATGTGAACATCACATACTTATTTCCCCTATATATTGGGTGTTCGCATGGACTGAGGGACCTACTCTTAAGGGTTAAATTGGGGTTGAGATTGAGAAAGGGAAGAAAGCCCCTCTATTTGTTGTATGCTTCTTAAAGATTTTCTTAGTCGGACGTTGGTCCCGGACCTGGATTCGAGGTCCTTGTTCAGAACATCCCAGGTCCTAGGCTCTGCATGGAAGGGATCTCCCCCCGTGTAAAACCTATTTGCCCTGCCTGCCGGGGCAGTCAGCCTAAAGGCCGGAGGTGTCGCGAAGGCTGCACGACTATTCCTTCAGCCGTGCAATATCGTGGAGGGGTAGACCCTCACGATACTTCGAGCTTGACACTCGGATCCACGAGGGACGGCTTGATTATGGACACTATATAGTACGACATCATTGCGACTGCTTGCGTATTCATGCATTGCTAGTGGATATGAGTTAGCCCTGCGTCCGCGGGGTTTTATACTAAGTCTCGCGTGCGACGCCTATCCTATTTCTGTATCGGAAAGTTAACGGATGACTACCAAGGGACTAGGAGTGTTGTCGCGTCGTTTGTCCAATATTGTTTTGTATATGTGCGTGTATGTGTGCGTATTTTGATGTTTATATTCTTTAGAGTGGTATGCGCGTAGAGTGTGGGATGCGTCCTAGTCGACCGCTTGGGACCTCAGCCCCCCAAGGCGTCGGTTCGCGTGTGGGTCCGATAAAGGCATAAGACCGCGCGTACCCCCTATGCTACAGTGTACGAGAAACGCCCTCGGCTGGTCCACCTCTGCGATTGCAACTAATTAGCTTTCGTACTGTGGACTGGTAGCTCGGCGGGGATACGCCCACCGAAGGGAGGTGACAGCCCCCGCAAGGTGGAGGTAAGTCGTGCCTCGCGTAGGCCCTATCCTGTCGTAGGGGCTCGCGGGAGGTATGGTTGGCGCACTCGGCAGAAGCGTCTTGCTGAAGCTCCATGTATATTCGCGACGGGGATTACGGACCGACTCCTGCGTGACGCGGCCGGGAGGGTCCCGCGCTGCCTTGAGCGGCGTCGGACCGATGTGC